TATTCATCCTTTTCATATCTGATTCTATTTCCTGACGTAAGGTGTTCTTTGGCCTTCTTCTTTTCCACTTCCTTTCAGGATTCCAAGTTTGGGCTTGCCTCTTGAAGATGTTACAATCAATTAGATGGTCACTACTTAATAACGAGAAAAATGAGGACACGATTACTAAAAGTTTGATTACTTATAGCTTGATAAAAGAAGTCTAAAATACAGAAGTTATTCATACAAATTGTAATAATGATTGTACTGTGTTATGCCCCGATAAGAATAATGAATGGTAATTTTTGGGATCTATTGATGGATCAATACTAGACGTATATTTCTATCGTATAATTGATAAATAACTAAACTGTACATATTCGTATCCCTCTTATTATGAGCCTTATTTTGACCTATGAACTATTATAATACGATTTACCATTCTTGAATTATTCCCTGTCTATTAATCACTACCTCCCTCATTCAGAGCCACATTTGGCAAAATTTTGTACAAATGTTATTTTCTATTTTATGCTGCGTTGTGGTCTGTTTGATTGGTATATCAACTCAGTATGTTTGAAATATAATGATTCATATTGCAGAGGCTGAGATTGGTGTTCTGGACTTAACTGGCTGGGCTAGGCGGAAAGCAGGACTAATCAGGACTCTAGGCTGCTTGCACGTGTTTTATGCGTCCTTGGTTCGATCGATAAATCACTGTTCTCTAACCGGCGGTGACAAGATATAACATACTGTTATGGTGGTAACCATTTCGATTGTAACAAGGATGATGTTCTAGGTTTTTAATGCTTGTATATATGTTTTATTGATGAATCTGCTCAAAGGTTTCTTATCGTTTTTTTATTGGATTATTTATTATAATCACAGAATTACATTCATTAATCAATGAGCTTCGATAAAAACTTCAATTTGGAATTGAATTAAATTGACTACTAAATGATAAACGTTTTACACTTAAATCAAATGGGTTAGTCCTACTTCTATAAATATTGAAGATTTATTAAGTTGATAATTATGAATTGAGTAGGCAATGAACCTAAATAAATACTTTACTGGATTATTAAAATTCATCATTAGGAGATTACCGACAGTGAAACTTGAAAGGAAATTAAAGTGTTGGGAGAAGAGTAGTAACACTAATAAAACTACCTCTTTCTATGAACTGAATGTATAGGATCATGATTTTTATATTTATGATCTTGTGATAATAATCTATTCGTTTACATTGAATTGCCGGGTTTTTTTTTGGGGGGGGGGAGGAATAATTAATTATATTCACATACTACTGATATCATCTTTGCTTTTAGGATAGCTTGTTAGTAGTTTATTGTAAATAACAGTACAAACATTGTCTAGCTTAAATATATTTCACTTAAATTTACTTTACGTAAAAATCATATGAAAGCAAATAGTTTAAATGGCAAGTTGAGTCTAATATAATTTACAAAATAAAACAACCAAACAAACAAACTAATCCTCTACTAAATGCTCCCAAATGCCCCGGTATGGCCGAGAGTAGGGTGGGCCCGCCTTCCCTCTCGAAATACTCTCACACGTCCACGCGTATACAGCCTCTGCCAGGGAAGTCCTACTCACTGCCTTCTCGTGGTAGGGGTGTTGTTTACGAAATTGAGAGGATGAAAAGCGAATGTCCGGCGATTTGACCGGATTCCAAACCAATGGTGCACATGAGCTCCAGTATCCTGCGTGAACAAATGGCGTATGGACCAATCGTTGGACACAGGCTTCCATGGGACTGCATCTCCTCATGATGCTCCACTGCCTTGTGGATCAGACCTTTAGGTCAAAGGCTCGGGGTGTGGCCCTCTAAGAAAACCACCTGCTTTGGTCTGGGCACCCGGGCAGTATCACAGCCCACACACACACACACACACACAAATATGGTGTGGCGCATATATAATTTGTGCCCTCTTGTACCAATATTTATGTGTTGAAATAAGGAAATAATAATTGGTTCATTTGTAAAGTATAAATAATCAGATAGAATAATGTGAGAACGAATAAAGTAGACAAAAAATTACTGAGATCTATAATCAAGGTAATAAAGTCTACCACCAAGTTGTTAAAAATAAAAGGAAAAAATAGTACAATGTGTCTGTCTACATACATTTTACTGGTGGTTAATATATATTAAGGATCTTTAGGCACGTTTTCTTATTGTAACGATCAATGTCCAGAGTTTGAATCTCTAATCTGGCCATAGGTTTCCCTTTACTATAGATATATTATATAATCACTACATTATATTATTATAAGCTTTATTCAATATTATATTTTTGGTACAATATAGAATTCTCAGCACAAAATATTTCAACAAGTTTCCGTTTCTTACTTCTTGGTCGATCGTGACGATAAATATTGAGTGATCGCCAGTTAGATGTTAGAGTCCAGTAAATGAACATCTGAACAATGTATATTCTTTTCTCTGTAAATTGCCAGCGACCAAATTATCTCTTATTGGGTTTTTTTATAACTTTGACAACGAAAGGTTGTACAATTTTCAGAAATGCACCAGGATAGCTTATGCGATGAATAGACATAATGGAATATATTAAAACAAACAAAAAATAGATAACTTGTTGAAACATTTAGATGACAGGAACAGGTAGCCTAGATGCTCGAACAGGCCGCGAGTGTACTGTCAAATTTCGAAAGTGAAAATATATTTGATACAAGGTTTTCTGTCTTTCGTAAGGAATAAATTTGTAATTCAGTAACTGCCAGGGAAGTCCAACTCAATGCCTTTTCACGGCGAGAGTGTTGTTTACGAAATTGAGAGGATGAAAAGTGAATGTCTGGCGCTTTAACTGGGTCAGTGGACATGGAGAGTCCACCTAGGGGAGTTGGAAAACACAGATTCCAAACCATTGGTGTACATGGGCTCATGTATACTGAAGGAACAAATGGCATATGAACCATTATTGGTCACTGGCTACCATAGAACTGCATCAGCTTACGTTGCTCCATTGCCTTGTGGATTAGACCTTGAAGTTAAAGGCTCGGAGTGTGATCCTTAAGAAAACCGCCTGGTTAGGACTGGACACCCAGTCGGTATCACAGCCCACACACAAATCAAGTGACTTGTATCGAGTATATGTATTCGATGATCCTTTGTACTAATATTTATGTGTTCAAATAAATAAAATCTTGTAATTCATTTTAAAATATAATTCACTCTTATAGTCATAGAGAATTACTGAAAATCTGGAGAATGGATTATAACAGCATTACATTCCTAATTTCGTAAACAATATCTTATTGAAACCAGTATAAGACATAGATTTTAATCTATGAAAATCATTGAATGTAATAGTGATAGACTGAATATTGAATACCATATTAGACTATCATAAAAATCTATTGAACGTCATTAAAATGTATAATTACATGAAAATATCGTTTATGTAGTATTCGTCTATTATCTTGTATAAAATGAATAATTTTTTTTCTGGTTAGCGTTTTTTTTAGCTAACCCCATGCCAAGACTTCCTCCTTTATCCGGGCTTGGGACCGGCAGTAGCTCCCGGAGGGACTCCAGGCGGAGTGCATTGGAGAATGCTGGTCGTCAGCCCATGCTCCATTGGGAGTAACAGGCGTAAGAACTCAGACCTAATCTTGTATAAAATACATTGAGTTGGTTACATTGACTCTCAAATTAAAAACTAAAAAAACGATTCGTGGACCTCTTTGCAGGTTTCGATAAACTTTTTTAAACATAGGGAATTCTTATTTTATCGAAATTTAATGACGAATGTCTATAATTAACCATATTCTGATTCATTAATTCGATAAGAATGTTAAAATGGTTCTTAATTTATTCATGAATTCATGTGTATTTTCTTATGGTAGTAAATCAATAAACTCAGTCTTAACTTAACTTAACTTACTCCTGTTACTCCCAATGGAGCATAGGATGCCGACCAGCATTCTCCAACCTACTCTATCCTGGGCATTCATTTCTAATTCCATCCAATTTTCGTTCATTTTTTTTCTTGTCTATCTCCATTTACCGGCGTAATGTGTTCCTTGGTTTTCCTCTTTTCCTTTGTCCTTGGGGATTGCATTTGATGAGTTGCCTTGTGACTAAATTGGGTACTTTCCTCAATATGTGTCCTTTCCACTTCCAGTGCTTTTTCTTAATTTCTTCCTCCACTGGAATCTGGTTTGTTCTCTCCCACAGTAGGTTGTTGAATAAATCCTGTAAGATGACTTAATTGTCAACTTTCTTGAACAGTTGAAAAATGACTCACTATTTCATGTCAAGTTTTTTTTCAGTTTTGTGCATAATAATTCATAATTTATTATTGTTTCTTGATATTATGATGTATGCTACTGATATCGATAGATATAAGTAGTATGTATCATCAATCGAAAATAAAATGCCTAATGATAGACGGTTAAGAAGATCAAAGAAAAGAGAATGAGAATAAAGAGTGATTAGTGTGGAAATGAAGGAACGATCAAGTTTGAAACAAGTGAGTTACATTTTGCAAATGAAGTATTTACTGTATGATTGTCAGATTTTAGCAAGAGATTCTATAATTGCTTGTCCAATTACATTTGGTTACTATAAAACATACAAATCTTATATATTACTGATATGCTGGAATATTTTTCATATATGTGATTTCCTCCTAATTATTATTCAAAATGGGTGTATAATCAATATATAAATGAGTGTATTTTCTACTAGAGTTGTCGTTGTCGTCATCGTGTTATGGGGTTAATAAATTATCACTTATACCAGTCTTTGTGTACTTAATATCGCGTCATGAGAATTGCATAGGTCCCTCATTCCGAATATAAGTGATCAGCGTTTTTCCGACATAACAATCAGCGACGACCACATACAAAAAGTAGCATGAAAAGAGTCAAGACAATAAACATTCAAACGACAAGTTATAACAATTACTTTGTGATATTCTAATAAGTTAATTGAATAATAATGAATTATTATATGATCAGTTATTAATCATAACATGGACCATATATCGTCATCATCATCATCATCATCATCATCATCATCATCATCATCATCATCATCATCATCATCATCATCATCATCATCATCATCATCATCATCATCATCATCATCATCATCATCATCATCATCATCATCATCATCATCATCATCATCATCATCATCATCATCATCATCATCATCATCATCATCATCATCATCATCATCATCATCATCATCATCATCATCATCATCATCATCATCATCATCATCATCATCATCATCATCATCATCATCATCATCATCATCATCATCATCATCATCATCATCATCATCATCATCATCATCATCATCATCATCATCATCATCATCATCATCATCATCATCATCATCATCATCATCATCATCATCATCATCATCATCATCATCATCATCATCATCATCATCATCATCATCATCATCATCATCATCATCATCATCATCATCATCATCATCATCATCATCATCATCATCATCATCATCATCATCATCATCATCATCATCATCATCATCATCATCATCATCATCATCATCATCATCATCATCATCATCATCATCATCATCATCATCATCATCATCATCATCATCATCATCATCATCATCATCATCATCATCATCATCATCATCATCATCATCATCATCATCATCATCATCATCATCATCATCATCATCATCATCATCATCATCATCATCATCATCATCATCATCATCATCATCATCATCATCATCATCATCATCATCATCATCATCATCATCATCATCATCATCATCATCATCATCATCATCATCATCATCATCATCATCATCATCATCATCATCATCATCATCATCATCATCATCATCATCATCATCATCATCATCATCATCATCATCATCATCATCATCATCATCATCATCATCATCATCATCATCATCATCATCATCATCATCATCATCATCATCATCATCATCATCATCATCATCATCATCATCATCATCATCATCATCATCATCATCATCATCATCATCATCATCATCATCATCATCATCATCATCATCATCATCATCATCATCATCATCATCATCATCATCATCATCATCATCATCATCATCATCATCATCATCATCATCATCATCATCATCATCATCATCATCATCATCATCATCATCATCATCATCATCATCATCATCATCATCATCATCATCATCATCATCATCATCATCATCATCATCATCATCATCATCATCATCATCATCATCATCATCATCATCATCATCATCATCATCATCATCATCATCATCATCATCATCATCATCATCATCATCATCATCATCATCATCATCATCATCATCATCATCATCATCATCATCATCATCATCATCATCATCATCATCATCATCATCATCATCATCATCATCATCATCATCATCATCATCATCATCATCATCATCATCATCATCATCATCATCATCATCATCATCATCATCATCATCATCATCATCATCATCATCATCATCATCATCATCATCATCATCATCATCATCATCATCATCATCATCATCATCATCATCATCATCATCATCATCATCATCATCATCATCATCATCATCATCATCATCATCATCATCATCATCATCATCATCATCATCATCATCATCATCATCATCATCATCATCATCATCATCATCATCATCATCATCATCATCATCATCATCATCATCATCATCATCATCATCATCATCATCATCATCATCATCATCATCATCATCATCATCATCATCATCATCATCATCATCATCATCATCATCATCATCATCATCATCATCATCATCATCATCATCATCATCATCATCATCATCATCATCATCATCATCATCATCATCATCATCATCATCATCATCATCATCATCATCATCATCATCATCATCATCATCATCATCATCATCATCATCATCATCATCATCATCATCATCATCATCATCATCATCATCATCATCATCATCATCATCATCATCATCATCATCATCATCATCATCATCATCATCATCATCATCATCATCATCATCATCATCATCATCATCATCATCATCATCATCATCATCATCATCATCATCATCATCATCATCATCATCATCATCATCATCATCATCATCATCATCATCATCATCATCATCATCATCATCATCATCATCATCATCATCATCATCATCATCATCATCATCATCATCATCATCATCATCATCATCATCATCATCATCATCATCATCATCATCATCATCATCATCATCATCATCATCATCATCATCATCATCATCATCATCATCATCATCATCATCATCATCATCATCATCATCATCATCATCATCATCATCATCATCATCATCATCATCATCATCATCATCATCATCATCATCATCATCATCATCATCATCATCATCATCATCATCATCATCATCATCATCATCATCATCATCATCATCATCATCATCATCATCATCATCATCATCATCATCATCATCATCATCATCATCATCATCATCATCATCATCATCATCATCATCATCATCATCATCATCATCATCATCATCATCATCATCATCATCATCATCATCATCATCATCATCATCATCATCATCATCATCATCATCATCATCATCATCATCATCATCATCATCATCATCATCATCATCATCATCATCATCATCATCATCATCATCATCATCATCATCATCATCATCATCATCATCATCATCATCATCATCATCATCATCATCATCATCATCATCATCATCATCATCATCATCATCATCATCATCATCATCATCATCATCATCATCATCATCATCATCATCATCATCATCATCATCATCATCATCATCATCATCATCATCATCATCATCATCATCATCATCATCATCATCATCATCATCATCATCATCATCATCATCATCATCATCATCATCATCATCATCATCATCATCATCATCATCATCATCATCATCATCATCATCATCATCATCATCATCATCATCATCATCATCATCATCATCATCATCATCATCATCATCATCATCATCATCATCATCATCATCATCATCATCATCATCATCATCATCATCATCATCATCATCATCATCATCATCATCATCATCATCATCATCATCATCATCATCATCATCATCATCATCATCATCATCATCATCATCATCATCATCATCATCATCATCATCATCATCATCATCATCATCATCATCATCATCATCATCATCATCATCATCATCATCATCATCATCATCATCATCATCATCATCATCATCATCATCATCATCATCATCATCATCATCATCATCATCATCATCATCATCATCATCATCATCATCATCATCATCATCATCATCATCATCATCATCATCATCATCATCATCATCATCATCATCATCATCATCATCATCATCATCATCATCATCATCATCATCATCATCATCATCATCATCATCATCATCATCATCATCATCATCATCATCATCATCATCATCATCATCATCATCATCATCATCATCATCATCATCATCATCATCATCATCATCATCATCATCATCATCATCATCATCATCATCATCATCATCATCATCATCATCATCATCATCATCATCATCATCATCATCATCATCATCATCATCATCATCATCATCATCATCATCATCATCATCATCATCATCATCATCATCATCATCATCATCATCATCATCATCATCATCATCATCATCATCATCATCATCATCATCATCATCATCATCATCATCATCATCATCATCATCATCATCATCATCATCATCATCATCATCATCATCATCATCATCATCATCATCATCATCATCATCATCATCATCATCATCATCATCATCATCATCATCATCATCATCATCATCATCATCATCATCATCATCATCATCATCATCATCATCATCATCATCATCATCATCATCATCATCATCATCATCATCATCATCATCATCATCATCATCATCATCATCATCATCATCATCATCATCATCATCATCATCATCATCATCATCATCATCATCATCATCATCATCATCATCATCATCATCATCATCATCATCATCATCATCATCATCATCATCATCATCATCATCATCATCATCATCATCATCATCATCATCATCATCATCATCATCATCATCATCATCATCATCATCATCATCATCATCATCATCATCATCATCATCATCATCATCATCATCATCATCATCATCATCATCATCATCATCATCATCATCATCATCATCATCATCATCATCATCATCATCATCATCATCATCATCATCATCATCATCATCATCATCATCATCATCATCATCATCATCATCATCATCATCATCATCATCATCATCATCATCATCATCATCATCATCATCATCATCATCATCATCATCATCATCATCATCATCATCATCATCATCATCATCATCATCATCATCATCATCATCATCATCATCATCATCATCATCATCATCATCATCATCATCATCATCATCATCATCATCATCATCATCATCATCATCATCATCATCATCATCATCATCATCATCATCATCATCATCATCATCATCATCATCATCATCATCATCATCATCATCATCATCATCATCATCATCATCATCATCATCATCATCATCATCATCATCATCATCATCATCATCATCATCATCATCATCATCATCATCATCATCATCATCATCATCATCATCATCATCATCATCATCATCATCATCATCATCATCATCATCATCATCATCATCATCATCATCATCATCATCATCATCATCATCATCATCATCATCATCATCATCATCATCATCATCATCATCATCATCATCATCATCATCATCATCATCATCATCATCATCATCATCATCATCATCATCATCATCATCATCATCATCATCATCATCATCATCATCATCATCATCATCATCATCATCATCATCATCATCATCATCATCATCATCATCATCATCATCATCATCATCATCATCATCATCATCATCATCATCATCATCATCATCATCATCATCATCATCATCATCATCATCATCATCATCATCATCATCATCATCATCATCATCATCATCATCATCATCATCATCATCATCATCATCATCATCATCATCATCATCATCATCATCATCATCATCATCATCATCATCATCATCATCATCATCATCATCATCATCATCATCATCATCATCATCATCATCATCATCATCATCATCATCATCATCATCATCATCATCATCATCATCATCATCATCATCATCATCATCATCATCATCATCATCATCATCATCATCATCATCATCATCATCATCATCATCATCATCATCATCATCATCATCATCATCATCATCATCATCATCATCATCATCATCATCATCATCATCATCATCATCATCATCATCATCATCATCATCATCATCATCATCATCATCATCATCATCATCATCATCATCATCATCATCATCATCATCATCATCATCATCATCATCATCATCATCATCATCATCATCATCATCATCATCATCATCATCATCATCATCATCATCATCATCATCATCATCATCATCATCATCATCATCATCATCATCATCATCATCATCATCATCATCATCATCATCATCATCATCATCATCATCATCATCATCATCATCATCATCATCATCATCATCATCATCATCATCATCATCATCATCATCATCATCATCATCATCATCATCATCATCATCATCATCATCATCATCATCATCATCATCATCATCATCATCATCATCATCATCATCATCATCATCATCATCATCATCATCATCATCATCATCATCATCATCATCATCATCATCATCATCATCATCATCATCATCATCATCATCATCATCATCATCATCATCATCATCATCATCATCATCATCATCATCATCATCATCATCATCATCATCATCATCATCATCATCATCATCATAGAAAACAAACAAACAAAGAACAATCAGATTTACATCAATTACAATTTAGAGATGCTTTAGTTTCTTTTTCTTTGGTTGATTGTTTGCTTGTTTATTCTCCATTTACTCAATTCGATTCATTATTTTGGGTGGATTCACATCAATCAATATGGATTACAATTTTTCTTTCTTAATGTTTTTAATTATCCTCAAATACGTTTATTTTTTTTTTTTCTTTGAAAAATCGAGTTTTGTTCGTTTGTTTGTTTATTAATGAATTTGATTATCATAAATACTATTTCATGTATAAATCCCTTAATCACAGAATAATGAATAAACTTCTGGAGATCACTATATCGGTCGTACTACCAGGCAACTTAACCAACGAATCAGTGAACATCATCTATCAGCGTGGTTTCTAAAGGGCCGGATGAAAACCAAAAAAAGAAAAATTAACGTTAAATGACTAAAAAGGTAAAGTGAAAAAAATCGTAATTGTGGCAATTATAATAATCACTTTAGTTCATGCAAACATTTATGAAAGTACAAGTAGGATAGTGAATAGATTTTGTTGTTTTTAGAAGGATCATATCTATAGTGTTAGTTACTATGTTAAGTTCATATTAACTTATTCTAGAGTTTGGACAAGTTGATTTAGATTTATTCTTTTTTGAGTTACATTTTGATCATCTTGATGATTCACTTATCCACTTTGATATGAGCATATCTGTATGTACATTTCTTATCCTATTCATTACATTTTTATAACCTATTTTTTTATCTACCTATAATGATTGATTAATGCTTGATGAAATAGAAGTTGGGTCATTTGCTTTCCCCATCGTACATCATTTCAATTCACTTTGTTCATGTGATCGTCTTCTTGGATTAATGATTGTACAAAATCTACATATTCAAAAGTCTATTCTCGTATTTGACTTGTTTTAACTTCGTTTATTCACTAACTTGAGTTAAGTCGATAATTATATATATACGAGGTTAACAAGAATGTATATTTCGACAATCATCATTCATACGATCAAATTGAAGTCAGATATATGGTCACTAAATATATTGACAGAATACGAATAAAAACTAAGCAAAAACAAAAAGAATAACATAAATTCACCTTATTTCGTTTCATCCTCATCAGCTGCTTACAACCTGCGATATTTAAAATCATAATTACAAAATCGGTTTGGATCATTTACATTAAAAGAGTTTAGTTGGAAGTTATTAGAAGACACATCAGTCTAGTATGGTAAGGGTGTAAATAAATTTGATAGACTAAATAAAGTATTGTCATCATCGATGAACATGGTGGGTCTGATGAAAATGTGAAAGCGCGGATCGCTGAAGCAAGAGCAGCATATTTACAACTGAAGAACATCTGAAACTCAAAACAACTGTCAACCAACACCAAGGTCAGGATTTTCAATACAAATGTCAAGACAGTTCTACTGTATGGGACAGAAACCTGGAAAACTACGAAAGCCATCATCCAGACGATACAAGTGTTTATAAACAGTTGTCCACGCAAAATGCTTCGGATCCGTTGATCAGACACTATTAGCAACTACCAACTGGGGGAAAGAACAAACCAGATCCCAGCGGAGGAAGAAATTAGGAAGAAGCACTGGAAGTAGATAGGACACGCATTGAGGAAAGCATCCAAATGCGTCACAAGACCAGCCCTTAAATGGAATTCTCAAGGCCATTGGGGTTGAAGAGGAAGACCAAAGAACACATTACGCCGAGAAATGGAGATAGACATGAGAAAAATGAACAAGAATTGGATGGAATTAGAAAGGAATACCCAGGACAGAGTGGGTTGGCGAATGCTGGTCGGCAGCCTATGCTCCACTAGGAGTAACAGGCGTAAGTAAGTAAATAAAGTATTGTAAATCTATCCCTTATGTAGAAGAAAATTTTACAACATTGATTGTAAAAAGAGTTCAAAGGACTAGAGACAAGTGAATACATAATGAGTAAAGGCTAGTAAGCATGAATAAAGTTCAGTTCATAAAATAACTTTACTAGTCTGATAGATAGTCGGAATAAAAAGACGTAATAATGTGATTAAATAAGAGTTGAAAAAAGTTTTTAAGATGCAATGAAGGAATACCCGCGAGACTATAATTAATGCACGAACCAATCACATTTAAGATAGTAAATCTTGTATTTCTATGCGGAATTCATTCATTCATTTGGTTAAATACCATTTTGGCATTATATCTGATATCAGTTCATGATAAAAACATTAAATCTGATTCCTCACTCTAACATTCAACTGTAAATTTTAATACTAATTCCTACATACTATTCTATAAGCCTCATTTAACCCTGGTAAGAAGGTGAACATCCCAAGGTCATTCTAGTGTTGCTCAAGAGTCGTCTATAAATTATAGTATTACCGGAATATTTATCATCAAGACAAGGATAGATTAACAACCATCTCCTTTTGAACATATAAATTAGGTTTTTGACGTCTGATAGTAACGGTTTCAGCAAACTTCAGAAGACTGGAGTTTGACTGCTTATGAATCACTTTGAAAGATTTGCAAGGTATTGGTCCGATGTCTTGTATTCATGAGATGTTTGGTAACTATAAGGAGTGTAAAATCATCTCATTTAACGCTGGTTTTCAATCATTGTAGAGATGTTTCAGTATAAACGTAGTGTCCAGTTAGTGTACAATCAACCTTAATAATAATTGCCTGTTTTTGTTCATAGTAAAACCTTTGCTGAAATTTTGTTCCTCTAAATGGTTGTTTTAATTGTGAGTCCTTTCTTATCTTTCGAGAAACCATTGTTGACACAAGTCTCAGAAAGAAGTGAGGTATTTGGATTTCTCTACAATTATCTAATAGTTTATTTGTCAAATCTAAATAGGATATGATGTTGTTAAAAATTGTTCTACTATAGTTTACAGTTTTTGTTTGACAGTCTTTACTTTGATTGGTAATTTAGGTTTATTTCAATTTACTTATTAATTTCTTACTGAACTGAGTACTATGCTTCTAGAACTTCTCTGATCTTCTTTATATCACCCCCCTATACAAGATTTCAGCCTTTTCACAATTGTCAACACATATTGGTATAATCGATGAATTGGTGTTAAGTTTACCAGCTAGTTGTTTCATTTTTATTAGTCAGAAATGAATGGATTTCACTGCTTCTCATCAAAGATTGACAGAACTAGCTGTTGGACATCTACTGAAAAGTAATAATGTTGTCTAGGAAGATATTAAACGTTTCATGATAATATCACTCAGCTCAAAGAATCTAATCCCACTAAGACAATTCTCATGAGCTATCAACTATTTTCGCCATTTCAACAGTAGGGCCTATTTGACATATTTCATATGTCTATCCCATTAATGAATTTCATTATCAATCAATTTCATCTGGAGATTAACTTAGATATGTCAGTCATTTTACATACTATATAAACAACTATTAACTAAACAGTTTTTTCTAGGTTGAAATGTGACTGGAAGGCGTTAGTACTTCTTCAAAAGTGATATGGAGAGTGGAGAGTGCTTGTGGCGACCTATGCTCCTCTATGAGGGGTAACAGGAGTAAGTAAGTGAGTAAGTAAGTAAGTAAGTAAGTAAGTAAGTAAGTAAGTAAGTAAGTAAGTAAGTAAGTAAGTAAGTGAGATATGACAAGTATCCTTTTAAATTATTCTATTAATTTTACATCTCATTTGAACAACACCATTACAATCAGTTCTTGATCAAATCTACAGTTGATACTTTCGAGTTGAATGCCTTCTACATATCAGTGTATATTGATATTATGCAAACTGTTAGGTAGTTTTACATCTAATCAATTGAGTTTTTCATGGTCAACTTTAGAACTTAATGGTATTTGACTATTAAAAAGTACATCGACTGGCATACGATTTGAATATAGGGATACATCCCATTACAAAAATTATATAAATAGAGGACACCTAAAATTTATCTAATATGAAAAGATTCTAAACTTCAGTTGTTAAGCTTATAACCTGTAAATTTGAGATCTACAAGAAATCATCTTAATTTCTGAAGCATTATACAAAACTGTTACAATTCCAAACACTTCCAACTTACATACCTTTCGAAGCCGGTCACTAGTGGACATATAATGATTATAATCAGCGAGGAGATCATGAATGTGCACTGTTGAGGAGTCCCATACTAGGATGAGACGGCCGTCCAGTACTTACTCACTTATTTACACCTGTTACTCCTCGTGAAAGAGCATAGGCCGCTCATCAGCATTCGCCATCCAACCCAGTCTTGGGCAATCCTTTCCAGCTCTTTCCAGTCGTTATTCATCCTTTTCATATCTGCTTCTATTTCCTGACATAATGTGTTCTTTGGCCTTCTTCTTTTCCGCCTTCCTTCAGGATTCCAAGTTAGGGCTTGCCTCGTGGTGCAGTTTGATGATTTGAGTAATGTATGTCCTATCCATTTCCATCGTCTTTTCCTAATTTCTTCTTCAGCTGGAAGTTGGTTTGTTCTCTCCCACAGAAGGCTGTTGCTGATGGTATCCGGCCAATGGATGTTGAGTATCTTGCGTAGACAGCTATTTATAAATATTTGTACTTTCTTGATTGTGGCTGTCGTAGTTCTCCAAGTTTCAGCTCCATACAGTAGAACTGCCTTGAAGTTCGTATTGAAGATTCTCACTTTGATTGAAAGTTGTTTTGAGTTTCATATATTCTTCAACTGTAGGAATGCTGTCCTTGCTTTGCCAATCCTCACCTTTACGTCTGCATCTGAACCTCCTTGTTCATCGATTATGCTTCCCAGGTATGTGAAGGATTTCACATCTTCCAGAGTTTCGCCATCAAGAGTGATTGGATTGCTGTTCTCCGTGTTGAATTTGAGGACATTGGTTTTCCTCTTATCTATGCTGAGGCCCGCTGATGCAGAGACTGCTGCTACACTGACTGTCTTTATCTGCGTTTGTTCATGTGTATGCGATGGGAGGGCAAAGTCATCTGCGAAGTCCAAATCGTCTAATCGATTCTGAGCTGTCCATTGTATTCCACGTTGTCGAGGTCTTCATAATCCAGTCGACCACCAGAAGAAAGAGGAAGGGAGAGATTAAGCAGTCTTATCTGACTCCGATCCTTACTTGGAATTCATCTGTCATTTGTCCTCCATGCACGACCTTGCACTGTAGACCGTCGTATGAGTTCTGGATAATATTGACAATCTTCTCAGGAACTCCGTAGTGTCGAAGAAGTTTCCATAACGTCCTCCTATCTACACTGTTAAATGCCTTTCCATAATCAATGAAGTTGATGCACAGTGTTGAGTTCCACTCAATTGATTGTTCATCGATGATCCGTAGTGTCGCGATTTGGTCTGTGCACGACCGATCCTTACGGAATCCAGCTTGTTGATCTCGAAGTTGGGCGTCTACTGCATCTTTCATCCGGTTCAGCAAAACTCTGTTAAAGACTTTTCCTGGTATTGACAGTAGTGTGATGCCTCTGTAGTTTTCACATTTGCTCAGGTCTCCTTTCTTTGGAATCTTGACGAGGTGTCCTTCTTTCCAGTCCATCGGCACTTGTTCCTCCTCCCAAATCTTTTTGAATAGAGGGTAAAGCATGCTTGTGGTTACTTCGATGTCTGATTTCAGTGTTTCAGCTGGTATGTTGTCAAGTCCTGCTGCTTCCCCGTTCTTGATTTGTCTGACGGCCATTCTAATTTCTTCCGTCGTTGGTGGGTTGACATCTATATGAAGGTCTGTGTATGCTGCTTCGATGTTCGGTGGATTCATTGGAGACGGCCTATTCAAGAGTTCCTCGAAGTATTCTACCCATCTGTTTCGCTGTTGTTGAGTTTCAGTGATTGGCTTGCCTTCTTTGTCTTTGACCGGCCTCTCTGGTTTACTGTATTTCCCTGCTAGTTTCTTCGTTGTATCGTAAAGCTGTTTCATATTTCCTTCTCTAGCAGCTTTTTCGGCCGTCGTTGCTAGTTCTTCCACGTACTTCTTCCTGTCGGCTCTAATGGTCCTCTTCACTTGCTTGTTTGCTTCTATATACTCAACTTGTGCTTTGAATTTCTCTGCTCGTGTTCGGCTGTTGCTAATTGCTGTCTTCTTGTTCTTCCTTTCATTGATTCTGTCCAGTGTTTCTATAGAGATCCATTCCTTATGATGATGCTTCTTTGATACCTTTCTAGTTGTCCTCCATTGTAGTTTCTTCTTCTTTCAGTAGATCCTGTAAATCTTGGAACCCGTTGTTGAGAGCTATCTTGAATTCATTGAGTTTGTCAGTATCTCGAAGGAAGGCTGTATTGGACCTTTGTAATGCTGTTTATCCAGTTGTCCAGTTTTTCTTTAGCTTTAGTTTTAAATTGGCCACAACTAGGTGGTGATCTGAAGCTATATCAGCTCCTCTCCTGGTTCTCACATCTTCCATTGTGCTTCGGAATTTTTTGTTGATGCAAATATGATCTATCTGGTTCTCTGTAGTGTGGTCTGGTGAGATCCATGTAGCTTTGTGTGGAAATATTTTGACGCCTATAACCAATTTGTTGAATGCACACAGATTTTCAAATCTTTCCCTATTTTCGTTTCTCTCTCCCAGTCAGTCAATGTCGTCCCATGATATCTTTATATCCAGTGTTGTCTATTCCGACTTTGGCGTTTAGATCTCACATCAGAATGGTGAGGTCCTTTCTTAGGCACTTCTCTATGATTGACTGCAGCCGCTCGTAGAATTGATCTTTAATGTCGTCGTTGCTATCATTGGTGGGTGCATAACATTGGATAGTATTCATGTAATCCCTTCCTTCTTTGTTTTGAATGATGCTTTGATGATTCTGGATCCGTGATATTCCCATCCTACAAGTGCATTTCGTGCTACTTTGGACAGCATTAGAGAAACTCCCTGAGTGTGTGGGGCGTCTTCCTCTTCGTAGCCGGAGTATAGTAGCATCTTTCCCGTATTTGGCCTTTGTTGTCCAGCTTAGGTCCAACGGGTTTCACTGATTTCCAGTACTGCCAAGTTGTATCTCCTCATTTCCGTTGCTATTTGACTGGACTTTCCGGTCTCCCATATTGTCCGAAAGTTCCATGTACCTATAAAAATTGTTGCTCTGGTTGTTAGAAGGGGCATCTGCCTCGTGGCTTTCAAAGAAACTCGAACGTTAGGTTCTACGGGATGGGGTCGCTAACCCCATGCCCAACACTCCTCCTTTACTCGGAAGTGGGACCTACAGTAACTCTACAAGAGCTACAGGCGGAGTTAAACAGTTCCAAGGTTGTAAATATAAAGAATTAATTATCATTTGTACATCGATTCCCTAGGTTTATTTAAAATACCTGGAAACTACTTTTAATTGGTCAAGAAAATGATAATTCACCTTAATTTCAGTAATAATTATAATAATTAGTAAATTAACTACTATTATATTGAACTGATTAAATAGCATCAGAAGGGTTTATATGGATATTATAGTTATTTCAATGGTTGAGATCATGAGTCAATTGAAGCTAGATCACTATAAAAAACCTGAAAGGACTAGACGGTCGTTATCCAACGGTGTTAATGTCTAACCCCAAATAATCTACGAAATTGAGTGACACATCCACTATTGTCTTCAGTGAGTTACTATCTCACAACAACTGGACTCCTTGGATCTATTATCAAGGTAATAAAGTCTACCGCCAATGTCTTTAAATAAGTTGGTAAAAATAAAAGGAAATAAAAGTACAGTGTCCAGATTTAGTAAAATGTTATACATGCAGTTTATAATCTGTCTACATTTATTTTGTTAATGAATAATATATAAAGGAACTTTAGGCACATTTCCTATTGTGGGACGATCAATGTTCAGAGTTTGAATCCCTAATCTGATCTAACTTGAATGGACTCATGATCTCAATTATTGGGAAATGATTAAATAATGTTTAATAAAAGCTATATGATAATCAGATCATTTTTCAACCAATCAAATAAATTGCCCATTAGGGAAATTCGACAATAACCAATAAGACATTGAAAAACTCTCATCATAATTAATACTTAAATCCAATTTAATAATGTAAGATACAATCATACTAAATTGAAAGTTTTTATTGTATTTATAAGTAAGTCTTATAGATTTATATAAATGTGTTCAAGTTTTATAATTATGAGTAATTTGTATAATTAGCCATAGCATTATTTTGATGAAGTTTTGTTCTTTAAGCTGGATGATTTAGTCGTTAAAGCTTTCATTGTTCTTCTTTCTGAACGATATCATCAGTAGAAACTTCAGGTAGAAGTGATAACGATGTCGTTTACAAGAACGATAAAAAGCTCCACGATCAAACCATCCAGCTCAGAGAATAAAACTTCATCAAAATTTATCCACCTGAGCTACAAATCTTCGCCACCATCTCATAGCCATATTATGCATTTTAACCTACGAAATAAAGTTGTGTATAATAACGCTTTCATTTAATTGTTTAGATAGAACAGTTTTGGTTGTTGATCATATAATCATGATCAAACGACATAGATATACGACTGACGACAGATCATGAGTTAACTGAAAATATGAAAAATCTAAGTTGGTCTAAGAGAAATTCTTGCATAATTAATAGGCAATAGTCATATTCTAAAGGTATGAAGGTGTGTAATCGAAAAATACCTCTTTAAGTTATGATCGAATCTGTACAGTGATATGGTTTTACTTTAGATCGGATCATTAAAATCATCATATAAGATGTACGTACATTCATAGGATATATGCTTTTCTTTCGAAGTTAACAATAACCAATGAAATCGAATTGAAAGTGTTGATTTGGGTTTATAACACAATATAGAAGGTAGGTAGGTTAGGTATCTTGGTGTTCTGAGTAATGAAACATTCTATTAGGTAAGAATTCAATTATTAAGTCTTAGTAACATAATGTAATTCAGAATACGTGTAGATGGACTATGTTAGTCGTTTAATTTTTCTTTAATTTGGGAATAAACGTTTTTTTTAAAGAAACGTTTTTACTACTGAATTGAACATACATCATCAAAGATGAAGTAAATTATGATGAAAACTGAGAAAAGAAAGTATTTGATAAATGAAATGTATAATAATCTGAGCCCTTTGACAACAGATTATTTTGTTTAATTCATAAAGAATATTTGATAATTAATTTATGTCATAGTGATAAGTCAGTTAGTCAGTCAGCTACAACGGAGGACCAGGCACAAATATGCCTGATGAACATCAAATTCATGGAAGTAGTTACTTCGATGGTTGTAATATATAAAAAAAAGATTGCAATAAGAACATAGTACAGGAAGAAAGAATTAGTTGGTAGAAAGAGATATATGAGGCGATTTTAACCTCATGGTTTACGGGCAGACAAAGAGTGTATACACCGACGCCATTGTGATCAATTCTGAGACTTGTCACCTAGAGTCTCCCACAACTGGTTACGGTAGTCACGCGGACCCCAACCAAGTAGTCTGCATCTACCAACATGGCTCAAACTAGTAGTTAGTGACTTCAAGAACTGATACCATCTTTTGGTTTGGCCGTCTTTAACTACCTTCCAACCGTCTTCAACATAATTCAGCATCGAGCGTGGTGGTAATCGGTGTTCAGGCATTCGTAACACATGTCCCAACCAATTGAATGAATAAATTCAGCAGTTTTATTTGGTTAAAACTCAATATATTTGTAATTAATGAATGTTGATTCGAAAAAAGTAAACATCTTCATTTGGTTACGAGTATTCGCCAATGTTTACATATAAAATTATTTTAATAGTTGAGATCGTGAGTCACTTGAAGCTAGACCATCATGAAAAATCTGGGAGAACAAGATGACTGATTCTTCGTATTGTGGGATTCCTCCGTGACAGTGCACATCTACGATCCCGACTTGCGAGATTCGAACCCATGACCTATCAGTATCAACTATTAAAATTACTATAATATCCAGAAAACCACTTCTGATATAAAATTACATTGAAATTTTTATCAACAGAAAGACGCAAAATTCACTCTTCCATTTGGCTAAATAGAATTTTGGCATTACAGCTGATATCAATTCGTGAAAAAAACCTTAAATCTAATTCCTAAACTTAACCATCAACTGTAAATCATAATCTTTATTCTTCAAACTGCTTTATAACCCTAATTTAGCCTTAGTAAATAGGTAGATACTCTCAAGGTCATTTAAGCGTCGTCCATAAATTATAGTCTCACCGAATTATCTTTCTGAACAACCAATCTGTATCACAAATTCTTAATGTACTGAAATATCATAAAAAGAAATTTTAGTAACATTTTACAGTTTACAAACATTATTTGTCAATACTTCCTGATTGTATGGGGCTACCACCAAAAGATTTCAATATAAACCTGGAAAATAAATGACTCTGTATTTAAAGTACATGGATTTATACCAATAAACCACAAGTTCAGATACCCACTGGGAAACTGGGAACAGTCGATAACTTTTGTGATTGTCGGTGTCCGAAATCTTGTATTGATACACGACTATAGTACACACTAACCCCCCTCCCAACTATCTGCTTGAGAGAGAACACAAAGCGAACGAGGAAGTATATTTGGCTTCTGAACAAAATGTGCAAATACTCACATATATATACATGTCGCATCAAGCATTTACCTCGGACATCATTTTCGTATATAACGTCATTGACCCTTCTTAAGTAGATACTCGTTACCCACGCACGCCATGATTGTCGAAAGTTTCGTATATATGCTGATAATGCACTTGGAGACTGACCTTGGATTCGCCTCACTTTTGACTTTCTTCTCTGTGGATATATGCCCTCAAATGAAGTTCGAGTCTCCCTTCTGAACACTAATTTAGCTGGGAAGATACCGTTGGGTGAGGCTAAACTTGAAGTTATCCAGGGTGATTCTCTTTCTTGTGCCCACCTCTTGTGATCGTTGTTACAACCACTAGGAAACATCTGCATTTATTTGTGAATCATAGAAAAATAGGAAGATCCTTGGTTACAAATAAGATTGGATGGATTGTCGAACATTTTTTAATCTGGATTACAAATAAGAATAAATGGGTAATCAAATATTTTCAATTCTGGAATCCAGTCAAGACCCAATAAATTGAAAGATTCATCAGTAACATAACATTTGGATACAGTCATTAGATCATTACATTTGACAATGAAGTTGATAAGTCCAGTTTTAATTGGGATGCCTGATGCATTATTTGTGTAATCGGTAGTAGAATGAATGCTTTGTAGACCAAGTTCATGCCAATTTTTTCAAGAAATCAAGGTAATATTGGATCCAGTGTCTAACCGCGGAGTGATAAAACGATCATTAACATTAATCAACAAATACTTGCGTAAGTAATGAGAGTTCGATTCTGACAAAAGATATGCAAAATTCATTCTTTTTATCATTCGACAGTGCAATCAGGGTTTGCTGCGTTTGCAAAATCTATCCTTTGTCCACATACTCCACGTTTTGAGCATTTGTGTTTACTAAATCTGCTGAAACGGGAAAAACCCTATACTCCATAGTTCTGGCAACTAGTGAGAGGCCTCACAGAATGAGGTGGATTAGTGTTATGAACATTAGACATACGATTTAGGCGAGAAACGTTTTATAAATCATGCTTCGGGACAATCATAATACAATTTGTATGAGAAATTTTCATCGAGTCAGATTAACTAGGATTAACAACAGATATATGATTAGGATGTAGTTTTACTCGAAATCGAAAATAACAAATATGCATTTAATTTAACCCTCATAATCAGTTTATAAGTTGCCAATGATTTCTCTTCAAATGTAATAACTATCAATTAATTGAAAACTTGAATTCATTGTATTGTAAAATGTAAATATCAGAAGGGGTTTTGTGGATATTATAGTAATTTAGTAGTTGAAATCATGAGTCAACCAAAGCTAGACCACCATACAAAACCTGGAAGCACTGGACGGTTGTTTCGTATTACTATGGGACTCCTCCGTAGCAGTGCGCAACTACGATATCGCCTCACGAGATTCCAACCCAGGACCTATCAGTCTCGCGCACTCCTGATACTAATCAACATATGCTTACCAGTGACTGGCTTTAAGAGGTATTTCCTGGAGGTCTAGTGAGAAGCAGTAACCAGTGGAGTTCAACCGAATCTGTTGCTAGATAGTAACTCACTGAAGACAACGATGGATGTGTCACTCAATTTCGTGGATCAGTTGGGGTTAGACATTAATACCGTTGGATACCGGCCAGGTCAGTGGTCTAGAGGTTAAGCGTTCGCGTACAAGACAGATTGGTCCTGGATTCGAATCTCACGAGTGGGGATTGTGGATGCTCAGTACCATGGAGGAGTCCCACAATAGGATGAATGGCTATCCAATGTTTCCAGGTTTTCCTTGATAGTTTGGCTTCAATTCACTCAACTACTAAAAAAAGTAAATTTTAAAAAAAAATCCAGATTATCTAACATTTTAGAAGTAGTTAATTATTTCACCTTTATCTTTGATATAATGAAGAATTTCAGAAGATTCTTATCTATAATACAAAACATTTTCTTTTAGAAAAGGACATTAAGGTGATTATTTTGTTCTTATATCTAGCACTTGTAGATCACCTTTTAAATCTATGTGTAAAATGATGAGAAAAAGGAAAATTTTCGAGATACAAAGATCCTTGGTAAAGTACAAACTACTGAAGAAAGTGTCTTATCGTAAGTATATTTCGGCGAGACTATAGTTTATGGACGAACCAATCAGGTATGAGCTAACAGGTCTTAGGTTTTAGCGTGAAATTCACTCATTTATTCGGATATATAGAGTTTTGGCATTATAGCCGAAATATAATATCTAACTCTAATCATTAATTGTTAATCGTAATTTTAATTCCTCACGCTAATTTATAACCCTTATTTGGTCCTAGTTACTACGTGGACACTATCAAGGTCAGTTTAACGTTGTTCAAATGTCGTCCATAAATTATAGTCTCATCTATATTTTCATTAATAAATATCATATTCACTTCAAATCAGTTTTTAAATCAGTTTTAAGAACATTTCCCATCAAATAACACATGAACAGCTGGGATAATATTAGGAATCAGATATATTATACCTCGAAG